TCCCCTTCTCCTGTTCCTCGTCCAGTGCCCCGGCCAGCCCTGTCTGCTCTGCCCCCAGTGACACCCAGAGCCCGGTGTCTTCCCGTCACCGCCATCACTGTCCTCGTCCGAACCAATTCCCTGCTGCCTGGTCGTCCCACGCTCTCCTAGCTGGAATTTGTACTCCCACACCTGTCCACTGGGGAGCCGCGTCCTTCCACCGCAGCGTGGGGACAGGTCTGTGAAGGCATGAAGCTCTATCTTGATCCTCCTGGGGGGTTGGGGACTTAGCTCAGGGGTCCTGCTGCCCACCTTGATCCTCCTTCTCTCAAAGCTACCCCGAAACCTGCCACAGCAGAGCCATCCGCGTCCTTCCCGGGCTGTCGGAGTCTCCACGGCTGGGTTTCCCTTCTCTCCTCGTTTCCATCTCCAGTCCCCTTCCCCAGCCATCCTGGGTGCCCCGCGGCTCTGACAGACTCAGTCCCGTGCCCAGCACTGCAACGTCTGCCTCCTGTGCGCGAAGGGCCGCCCCACCCCACGCCCTCACGGCTCTTCCCATTATTCTCGGGTCTCTCCTCGAAAGCCACCTCATTGAAGGCCTTCTCTATCACCCTATTTCAAGTAGCAACTCCCCTAGAATTCACTGTGCCTTTTAATGTCTGTTCAGCGCTGCCTGAAATACTCTCTGTTTACGGACTCAGCCAGCACCACCCACACCTGCCAAGTGGAGAATCCGTGAGAACAAGGACTTTGTTTTGTTCTCTGCAAGCCCCCTGCCAAGGGCAGTCAGGTCAGTCGGCTCTGCCCAATGGGTTCATTAAGCCATGTGACAAATGCGGTGGAAGTTTGGCGGCAGGACATCCAGGAGAGGGCAGCGGAAGAGGGAGGGCCGCCAAGGGTTTCCATCGCAAGGGTCTCTGGGTGCTGTGCTACAGCTCTGACTTTCATCGCCGCCTAATCAGGAGCCATAGAAAGGCTTTAATCACGGAAATGACAGAATCAGATTTGCATTTAAAAAATAAGTGCTGCCAACAGCGGGGAGAATACATTCGACACGGAGGAGACAGAAGGCAGCGAGGGGGCTGATGAGAAAGCCCATGAGAGAAAAAATTAAAAAATAGAAGACCCCACGGGGATGCGGTCCAGTGCTACTGCACGTGTGGAGCTCAGGGTTCAAGTCCCAGCACCAAGACCAACCAAACAAACCAAAAATAGCGTTATCATGAGATCCAGTGCTTCTGAGGGTGTAATCAAAAGCACTGTGAGCAGGGGCAGGAAGACGTATCTGCACAGTGTGCACAGCAGCAATGCCACACGGCCACAGGTGGGACTGCTGTGTCCAGCAGTGTGTGGCCCGATACACAAAGGTGTTGTGTGCAGGCCACGGAGGTCTCTCGGCCACAAGAAGGGAGGAAGCTCCGAGCAGTGCTACCAGGAGGACGAAGCTTGAAAACATTGTACCAAGTGAAATAAGCCTGCCACGAAAGACACGCTCTGTGCGATTTCACTCTTAGAAGGTCCTAGTACAGTCAGATCCACGCAGTCAGTGGACTCATGGTTGACAAGAAGAGGTGGGGCAAAGAGAGTATTTAATGAGTACAAAGATGGGTTTTGCAAGATTCGTGTATATTCCATGGAGGGACAGCAGTACTGGATACGTAACTATGGGCATGTACTTAATGCCATCTTGTTGTCCACTTAAAAGCAATATAAATGGTAAAATATGTTTTACCACAACTGTAAGAAAAGAGTCCCTGAGAAAGCCAATGCAAGGTAGAACTGAGCAGTGGAAGGGAAACGTAAGGAGGGATTCTAGAGATATCGCGGAGCTTGAGTCAGCGGGATGTGAGGATGAAATGGAAGGAGGCGATGGAAAAGGAACATTGCCAAGTTTCCAGTTGTGCACCCAGAATGGTGGGCGTGCTTCCACAGAAGGAAGAAGGGACTTGAGAAGGAGGAGGAGGAGGAGTTCAGCTTTGGACCTGATTTGTGGGTCTTCCTAGCAAAGATTCACCCCCTGGCTTTTTAGAGCTACAGCAGGATCTCAAGGAGAGGTGGGGACTGGAAGTGGTGAAGTGGTGTCCCTGGTGCACAGTCGTGGAATGGCCAGTGTCCCTCTGAAAGTATGTTGGAGAAGGAAGAGAAGAGGGCTTGGGGCCGGGGCCCGGAGCCGGAAAAGGAAGAAGTGAACACCAGAAGAGACGGGGAGAAAGCGATGAGAGAGAGCCAGGGAAGCACAGGGAGTACCATTTTTAGGATCGCAGCGCTGGGCACTGGCCTTGAAAGCTATGGCAGGTTCAAGGAAGGCAGGCACTGAAGTGGTCCCTGGATTCGCACCGTGGGAAGATCCCTGGAGACACGGTGGGAGTACCTGAGGAGTGTGGTAAGTTTCGGAAACAAATTGCAGTGACACTAGCAATACGGAAGATCAGTCGTGGATAAGAATGCGAGGGGAAACTAGCAAATATGTGCACTACGGAACACACCCATGTGTACACACAAGCACACTTACACATGCAGATAAAATCTGCTCTATCGCAGACCTTCAATCTTGCTGAAGAAAAGAAGTAATAAGCTGACGGGAGCACCGTTAACCCTCAGGTAAAGGACTGAGCAAATGTCCACTCGCCCGCCTGAACAAAGCAGAGCCCAGGAAGCACCTCACTGGACAGAGCGCTTGCATCTGTCATGGACACGGCCGTGTTCTGCCAGTTACAGAGCTCTGGCTTCATCCAGGGCATCAAAGGCTGCCTCGCCTGCCTCCCTTGCAGCTAGGGAGACAGGAGCAGAAGTCTTTGGGTAGGACATTCAGAAGATCGCTGCAAAGAAAAAAAATCAAGCAGGGTGCTGCCTCCTTTTTTGTCTCATGCCCTTTTCCTTCTCTTTCTGGAAAAAAGATGTGACGGCCGGAGCTGCTGGGCCCACACTGGGCCCAAGGAGTGACTTCGAGGATGAAAGTCATGTGCTAAGGATGACAGAGGTCCCCGGTTCTGCCACCAGGCACCATCCCCCCCCACCTTGCACTGTTGACTGGCAGGTTGTCACATGTGAGGAAACAGACCCTGCTTGCTTGGAATTGGGTCTCTGTTGTCCAAAGTTGGGCCCAAGCCCTAAAGGACTGCCATCATACACTCCCATCTTTGAATTACCAATGATGCCCAGCCCCGGCCTTCTCCAAGAGCAGACACTGAATTACTGCAATATCCAGAGCACTGAAAAGCCAGCTGGCTGCTGATGCCTGAAATTCCTGGGGTAGCGATCTGAGCCTTTTTTATCACTCAGGAGAAGGCTTAAATTGCAGACATCCTGAGAGAGAGGTTCCGAGGACTGAGTTTGTCCTCTGAGTCTGTTCTGGGTTTTGATGGGTCTTCAGGGGAGCAGGGTGGGGGTGGACACCTGGGGAGGACAGGATAGCAGACGGCCAGATGTGAGGCGCAGTCACCAGGTCCAAAGTCTGCCTTGGGGTCGCCCCAGGTGTGGGCCAGTCTTGAAATAATTTCTTTTGGAGCACTCCCCACAAAGCACTGTGCATTTGACTGGCATTGTTTCCTTTAAGTTTTCTAACAGCCTCGTGAGGTTGGGTGCTACTGTCCTTTCCAGATGAAGAAACTGAGGCATGGTGATGTTAAATAAACAGGAGACTTGAAATGCAGACCAAGATGCAAGACCGGAGCCTCAGCCCTCACTAGTGATGACTTTACTAGTAACAGTCAGCCCTGAGCAACAGATTCACAGTACTAGATTGACCAGCCAATCCGTGGAGCTTTAGAGACGAAACTGAGCCAAAGGTGGGTTAATGAACTTACTCAGTGGGAGACCTGGAGCGGGAGCTAGGCTTTTCTTACTGCAGATCCAGCAAACACTGAGGGGAGACGTTCGTCTTCTCTAAATGTATCTAAGGCCTTTAAATTTTTTCCTTTGTTTTTGTTTTTTGGTTTTTGGTTTTTTTGAGATGGGTCTCACTATGTAGCCCAGGCTGACCTCGGACATACTGTGATCCTCCTGCCTCAGCCTCCCGAGTGCTGTGATTACAGGTGTGCACCAGTACAGGGCTTAAGAGGCTTCTCCATTTTTAACCCATTAGAAAGGAAGAAAACAAGGGCGACCTCGCAGTGATCTGAGCTTTCTCGCGCTGTCTGCTGTTAAGTGCAAAGGCTTCATAAACCCATTCACGTGGGAGTTCGAGACACCCCAGAGGCCTGTTGTTCTCCTTCCTCATTTCACAAATTTGGAAGCATGCTGGTCACACAGCTTGCTCAAATGTAATAAAAGGATTAAAACAAGAGCCTGGGGGAGCAGATTGCCCTGATTTAGGCGGGCTTTCTCTGAGCGAGCTCCTCCGCAGGGCCCAGATCTGTGAAGGCCCTCAGGCCTCAGGCTTGGAGGCTCTCTGAGGATGAGGCCTGCTCCCCTCCTCCTCTGGGTGCAGCAAAGGGTCATCCATCACCAGTGGGGAGCTCAGTCGCCGCCTGGGAAGCCGGGCACAGTGGCCATACTTTACGCCTGTGGGAGCCAGGGCCCTGTCACCCTGTCTCAGACAGCACCCAGGAGGGGGCAGAGACAACAGGGCACGTGGGCCACCTGAGGACCCACACAGTCACAGTGCAGGCCAAAGCAGAGTGGCATCTGGGTGCATGGGGACGGGCTCCCGGATGTCCCAGCCTCTGCAGAGGCCCTGAGGTGACGGAAAGAGTTGCTTTCTGTGCACACCCCCACCCCCAAACCCCAACCCCAGCTGGTCGGGACTCCCAGGCCATGTTTGGAAACACCGGACGACAGGGGATAGGGACAGGGTTGTTGCACAGCAACTGCCTCTGGGAGAAGCCACCCCAGGCCTGGACTTCAAGGCCTCTGTCTGCTAATGCTAGTTCTCCCTTGGATTCAAGCTTGCTGTTCTTTCAAAAAAATTAAAGCAACAATAGGAAGCCATTTTCCTCTTATCAAATACTTGAGTTTTGTTATAGTAATAAATGCTCAGAAGGCATGCAATGATTTTTAATTCTCAGCAGGTAATAATAAAGATTGGTGAGAGCCTTATAAATATTCCTATTACTTGAAATTACCCTAAGAAATGAGCAGAGGTGTGAACCATGATTGGTGTGGTAGCTAACACCTCTTCTGTCCAGAGCGCACACTCACACACACACACACACACACACACACACACACACACACACACACTCACTCACCTTTGTAGGAATTTCCATCCCCCAAGGGTTCAGACGACATCTGCTCACCCATCAAAGTCACCCGATACCAAGCAGGACAGGCCTGTCACCATTCACTGGGACAGAAGCAATTACTTTCCAAGTTGGGTTCGCGCCTAACCATGCTCCTTGAAACGTCGCTCATCAACGTGTGCATCGAGGTGTGGGGCGTCCTCCACCACGGGATTGGTTACATGAACTGCGCTGCTCCTGCCTGTGGGACGGGCTGCCCCGCTCAGCATCGCCAGCATCAGGCGACCGCTCACCTTCACCGGCTGTGGTCTCCTCCCCTCCCGCTTCTCTCCGTCCTGAAGAGCTGGGAAGACGTCTCCAGACGCGCTGTGAGCACCACACCGCGCCCACTCCTTACACAACCCCCTCCATCCGTCTCTCTCCCACCAGAATCGCCCTTGTCAAGGTCACCGGAGACCTTCCATGGCCAGGTCCATCAGTCAGTTGTCCTTCACCCGTCTAGACTTTGGCGGCAGCATTTGTCATAGCTGATGGCTCATGTGTTCTCGAAACTCTTTCCACTCTGCTGCTAAAACTCCACTCTTTCTTGCTCTCCTGTCTCCCTGCTCACTCTTTTTTCTGGCTCTTCTTCATCTTCCCTCCTTCTGGACACCATGGTGCCCCAGAACCGAACCCTCAGGTCTCAGGTCCTTAAATCTCACGCATCTTTGGAGCCCTCGTCCTGCTGACTTTCATGATGGTATCTTCAGCCTGGCTTTCTCTCGCCCCTGAACTCCAGGTTCCTACATCAAACTGCTCACCCTACTTTCGCATTTGGGTGTCCAACTGGCATCTCAAAGTTGTCCAAAAGTGAATCCCTAGTCTCCCTACACTCCAACACCCATTCCTGAAGCCTAGTTTTGCCACATTCTCTGGGTCTAGGGCAATGGCTTGGCCATTTGCTCTGCAGCCTGAGCCCATACATAGCAGCAGTGCTGACCAGAGGAGGAAGGGGCCATCCATAGTGCAGAGGGAAAAGAATCCAGGAATAAGGACTAATTACACTCTCTGCATGACTTTAAGTGATCAGTACAAGACACAAAGATCTTTTTCAAAAAGGCAAAATGAGGGAGTGAAAGTTGGAAGCCGAAGATTGTTCGCGCCCACGCGAGGCCTGAACCTGGGCCCTGACTCTCTGGGTTCCTTTGCTCACCTGCCATCAAGAATAGGAGAAAAGCCCATCGAATCAGAAAAGTGAGTTTCCTCCCAGCTTGGCCAAAGTAGAAGGCAGCTCGTGTGCCCCACCTGGAGCAGGTAGGAGAATTCCAACTCACAGAAGGGGTATAAGAAAGCCTGGGAAACACGCAGGTGCAGATTCAGACTGGCTTTGGCCCAGGCCGGGCCCAGGAAAAATACTGCAAGTCGGGTTGTGTGGAATGTGCCTAGGTGCCAGGGCTGGGGAGGCAGTGTCTGCCCTCAGCATAAGGAGGATGGAGAACAAGCTTATCTTTAAAAATAAAAAATCCAAACGTTTAAAGGTCTGCGTTAACCTCTCAGTTACATCCTTCTAACCAGAAGGCAAAGTGGCCGAGAGCACCAAAAGCTGACTGCAGGGAGTGGTGGCACCTGCTGCCGTGGGCTAAATCATCACACTGTGTGGCCAGACCTGGGCTCTGACAGTGGCACCGAAATCCCTTCTCTTCAGAACTGTGTCCCAAGGGGCACAAAGACCTCTGCAGGGCAGAGGACTGGGCTCCCCACAGGGGAAAGGACAGGGCCAGTTAGGTACAGAAACAAAGATGCCAGTGTATGACACATTTGTGATCACTTGTTGGTTCTCAGGCCTAGAGCGACCCCACAGAGCAGGACATCTGGAAGTCACCCATCATGCAGGTCTTGATGTCAGGAGAGGAAATGTTCTGTAAAGACCCTCTGGCCTGGACTGGGGCCTGGTTTAAATGAAGAACTTATCTTTTGTGTGTTTCTTACATGATGAAGGCCCTCGAGGAAACACTGACCATCTAAAAGGGACAGAAAGGCATTCTGCAGTTCCTAAGTAACTTCCTAGTAAGATGGTGATAAGAACCACAACTCTCCCAACTCCCCTGACCCCAAGAATAGCTCTCAAAAGGCATCAAGCACTCAGGGCAGACACCTTCAAGGCCCTGCCCACCTCCTCGCTTGAAGGTGCAACTTTCTCCATCCCTCCACAACACCTTCTGCCTAGACTTCCACATGGCCACCTCTGTGTCTTGATTGGATCTTCTCATCAAGGGCACTGAGAACTGAGGACCAAGGACATAAGGGTCATTTCCTCGCTGCTTCGGGGCCTGGCTTCCCCATACCCATCCTCTCCCATCTCAGGCAGAGGCAGCAGGATGCAGCCCAGGCGCCGGAGGTGTCTGCCAGGTCAGAGGAGCAGGCAGCTGGAGGCAGCTAATGTGACCACAGAAGGCGCCGTCTGCCTCAGCCCATTGGGTCCTCTGCTCCGGTTCCCAGCCCAGAAGTGCAGCATCAGATCCTCCCTCATCTGCCCCTGCACTGCACCGCCAGGTCTCTTGCTGTCTGACAAGGCTGGCCATGCAAACCTGAATCCATCAAGGCTCTCCAGAGGACAAGAACCGGCAGGATGGGACGGAGCGGGGATGGACTCGACGGCCTGGCTGGGTCCCGCTCCTGCTGTAGAGGTTCTGCTTTTAGGGTTAAGCCACCAATTTCAATCCAAAAACCACCTTCTCAGGAGCATCCGGGAGAAGGCATCACCAAACACCTGGGCACCACGGCCCAGCCAGGTCCACAGACAGAATTAATCATCACGCCGGCTCTGGGAATGACAGGAGGGTGGTGGTCTAAGTGGGTCCACCTTGGGAGACCAGCAGAGGTCTGGGAAATGTTTCTGTGCTGTGGGGGACACATGTGAGTTATTAGAAGCCGTGCACTTCAGAGCTCCTGGATCCCACGTGGTGCTCTCCTTTCCCCTGCGGACTTCACCTGGAGCCCACGAGGTAACAAATCATGTGGCTGCATTGCCATGCTGTCCTGCCTGCTCTTCCCATCGAAGAGGACATCTGGGGTAGAGCTAGATGCCTGTCACCATGGTGCTGCAGACCTTGTCCCAGGCCACAATCGCTGCAGCCACCTGCAGGTAAGTTTGCTGTTGCCCAAGAGAGAAGGAAAAACCTGAATGTGATTATAGGAGAACAAGAAAACAACACACACTCTAGTGTTTTACGCATTTCCTACAAAGCAACATTTTGATATAACAAGATGCTTCAAAATAACAAATATTTTTAAATGTACGTGATGGAGAGGAAAAGGAAATCAGACAACAGAGGTCGGGCACAGCAGAGCCAAGAAAGACACAAAACCAAATTCCTGTGCTTCTCCAGGTTCCCGGCTGTACTAGGCTCTTTTGTTCCTGAACTCATGACATCAGCCTGACCCGAGCCCTTAATTCCTGGTGTCCCCCCGGATTTGGTCCTTGCCATCTATTTCTGAGCTCGACCTCTTGGATTGAATCTGATTAATTTTACAATAAATATTTATAGAGACTGAGCCTTTTCCCGATAAATGAGAGAGGTCACCCTTGGAAAGCTGATTTCTTAAGGTTATCTTGCCGTTTATTGTTCCTAATGCCATACATTACGGGACTGGGTGATACTTTGAGGTTCGGCTCTTTGGGATTCGGAAGCTGAGGCCCAAGGAGGTCAGGGGCTTCAGATGTGGGTGGAGAGCATGGCACCCGCTGGCCTGTGGCCCGCTCCCTCTGCCGTGTCCCGGGGAGGGGAGCCCACAGGTCACAGGCCGGATCTGGGGGCCCCTCCCACATCACACAAGTCCCTCACCTTGGGAATTAATGACTCGATTAGACATTAAACAAAATGGCTCACCGGGCCGATCGGGCCCAAGTGAAAGATCCGCTTCTCCAGATGGTCACCAGAGCCGTCCCCAAAGGGCTCCAACAGGCACATTACGTCTTCCTGCGATGTCAGGTTGGGGCAGTGGTCTGATTGCTGGATAAATCACATCAGGAAATTGAAATGAGTGTGAGGGAGGCGTGGACAAGGTGCGCTGCAGGGTAGAAAATGGCTCTCCACACCACAGAGAGCACGAGTCAGAGCCACGAGGAATCCCACGGAGCCGGGGGAAATAAGGAGAGACCAGGAAGAAGCCAGGAGCGTATATGAGATGCATAAATCAAAAGGCTAAGTTGACGGTGGAGGCGGTGTGGAATTTACAGAAAGTGAGAAACGGAGCGGAAGACAAAGCTGAAGGCTCAGGAGCTGCAGGGAACAAAACCCCAGCGTGCACCCGCCTCTCGGCGTTCTTGGGCCCGGAGATTTATTCACCGGCATCCTTAACACAGTCGGGCTGCCATGGCCCCGGGCGCAGAGCTCGACCTTCCACCTCGCTGGCCTTGCATAGAGGGGGGAGGGGTGGGGGGGGGGGGGGGGGGAACGGACACACCGCCGCCCTCACTGCCGGTCGTTAATTGATGGATTCACTGATTCTGAGCATCTAGATGGCACTGTGCGAAGGAGTAGCAAGGAGCAGAGCTGTCTGGGTGTCCTGGGGAGCCCATGCTCTAACGGGGAGGGACCACTATGCTCCAAAGTCACATCAAGGCCACGGAGGCCACTGGCCATGCTACAGCGTGGGTATCGAGACTTTCTGCACACAGACCGTGGAAGACCTGAATGACAAGCCCATGCTAAATGACAAAGGGCCTAGGAGACAGGGCTCTGACCCCTCCCATTGTAGCCATAGCCCCGACCTTTGTTCAAACCCTGGCTTACGAATGTAAGGCAATCTTGTACTGTTTGAAGTCTGGATCATGATTAACATGCAAGTTAGTGGTTCTAGACTATGAGATAAAATCTGTACCATACATAGAGACCCCGAGTTAATTGTTGAACTGTTTGCTCATCCTGAATGTCTTGGTGACCTTTGAAACATCCTATAGGTAGCTGTTAATCATCAATGTGTGACTGAAAGTACGTGACTGCTGACCACCAGCTCAAGTCAGCAGACCTTTGTCCCCTGCCTACAAGCTGAGAATGTTAACCCCCTTTTTACCCCCCTATAAAAAGGACCTCAGCCCCTGAGCTGGTGCCTTTCTGAGCCAACTACTTGGTTCTGAGAGTGCCGTCTGGCCAGACTAATAAAGGTCTGTTTACCATCTAGCCTGGTGTGTTCCTTCCTGGGTGACTCTCGTTCCTCCGTCGAGCTCCCAGAGCCTTGCTGGGTTTTAGGACCCTGTATCGTGGAGGCCTTTACAGCTGTTCATGCTCTGTGGAGTGGAAGTGAGACTTTGAGTCTTACAACCAGAATACAAGAGGTTGAAATGAAGACAGGCCCATGTTACTCATGTAATAAACACAAGCAAACAGAGGCCATTTTCATACGTACAAGACAAATGCAGGCAGTCCGGACAAGTCGCGGCTCCCTTGAAACACCACTGTCCAGGCAGGCAGCGTGGCTCGGTGGTTAAGAGTGGGGTGTCGGCACCAGGCTGTCTGAAGCTTATTAAATCTTATCACTAAGTCTTTGTCCTGCTGCTGTGAGTTGTGTGATGTGACAAAGGGACCTCTGTCCAGTTCCCAGCTCCCTCAGCTGCAGAGTGGAGGCACCAATGGTAGCCCACGCAGGGTACACTGGAGGCCGAGGCTGCAGCGGGCAGGGTGTGTCCTTGCAGTCGGTAATGTCAGTGCCCTGCAGCCTTAACAGGCCCTCCTGCTCTGTCACAGGAACCTCCTCGGCACCAGTGTTCTGGACCGGAAGGACAGGAAAGGGTGGAGCAGCAGACCACTGCAATCCCGCCCTTTCCCAAGCTGGAACAGAGAAGCTTTCCAGACAGGCCCTGCCCAGCTCTGTCACCTCATTGGACAAACTGTGCCACATGGCCACACCTGGCTGGAGGGGAAGACCAGAGGTGGGTGAGTTTGAAATCATGGCTGGGGGTTCGGGATCGGGATGTGGGCACAGGATCAGCCAATTGACATAATCTGCAGTGACTTCTGTTGGGCAACAGCCCCTGCTCACACTTGCTGGGCTTCTGTCTGGGTGTGTCCTTCCTCCCCTTGGTTGCAGGAATCAAGCTGGCTGAAAGGAACAGTCTGCTTCTCATCCGCGCTTACCCAGGGGATTGGATTTCCTCCACCCAAGGCTCTTCAGTTCCAAGCAGTCCAAATGACTAAACCCTCATCCACCTTCCTCAAGCCTGCGGAACTCTGCCCTGGGCTGCAGAAAGCCTGGAAATTGAGAAATGACACCTGACCTCACTGACCATAAACTCTTTTTGACAAGAGGTGGCTTAAAGGAAGGAATTTATGATCCCTGTAGAAAGAAAGCTGACCTTGAGAATCCGGAGCAGAAATGTTCAGACTTTAACCCAGCAATCTCATTCCAAGACTCAGCTTAGAAAAAAGTTGGAAAGCTGAACAAAACTTACATTCAGGAAGATGTTGGCCACATGCTGTTTTCAATAGCCAAAAAGGTCTCAAGATGGTTATTAAACATTCGCAAAATCATGCCCATAAGGAGTTTTTAATGTAAGAAACATTACGGGGTACATTTCCTTACATTTTTCTGGGCGTGATTTTAGTGTTTTGAGACGTTATGAGAAAATGCTCACCACATATTGCTAAGTTGGGGTGTGGAGTTCACAGACATGCTGAGCCCCGGTGTAGTCTTGCAGTGAATGTACACTTTGGACTTAAACTAGCCCCAAGTTCCAACTCTGGACGTCACTGTTACTTATTTTAGGTCACTTTCCCTAACCTCTCCAAGCCTCTAGATACAACATGGGAAGATGGAAGGGGAGAGGGAAGATTATTAAAAGGAAAAAAATACCTTAGCAAGGTGCCATGGGGAAGCGAAGGTAAAATGCTCTTTTCAGCACAGGGATTGAACCCAGGGCTGCGCATCCTGGGCAAGTGCTCTACCACTGAGCTAGGTCTCAGCCCCACTTCACTTCCTCACATCAAGATCACTGTCAACTCACCGCAATGAGGCATCCACACCACCCGCCCTGGAGAGCAGCACAGAAAACACACTGGTGGTCACCAGTGAGGTCTAGGCTGCTGCCCTAGTTTGGATCTCAGATGTCCCCATGTGTTCATGGCTTGGCCCCCAGCTTGGTACTGCTGGTAGGTGGCAGGAACTCTAACGGGAGGGACTCCTGGGAGGCCTCTGGGCCACTGAGGGCGTTCCCACTGAGGGCGTTCCCACTGAGGGTATTTCCACTGGGGAGTAGGGAGCCCAGCTCTCTCTCCACTCTCTTTGGTGCCTCCTGGCCACAAAATGAGCAGCTTTGCTCCCCTTCTGACTCCTGCTGTGATGTGCTGCCCCCTAGAGGCCTGGAGCAATGCAGTCGATCTACCATGGACTGGACCCTCCAAAACCATGGGCCAACATAAAGCTTTTCTCTGGACAGATTAACTACCTTAGGTATTTGCTATGGTGACAGAAAGCTAAGGTCACTGCCAAATCCGATAATGCCACCTTGCTATCCCTGTCTACAACTTGACCTCTTTGAGGTAGGGAAAAATCCAATAGCTCTTACCTCTTGAAACTCATCTTATTTGCCTCCTCCTGACTCTTCTCTCCTGATTTTTCTTTACCCTCCTTGATCACTTCTCACTTTCCTCTGCTGGCTCCCTCCATACCCTCCTATGCTCCATCCCTAGCTGGTGGGTGTTCCAGATCTGGTTCCTGGGCCTTTGCTTCTGTCCATACACTGTTTTAGGATGACTCCTGAATTTTCCTCTCTAGCCCTGACCACTCCAATCAAATTCCAATTGCATTTACCCAACATCTCAGACATGAAAAATTCAGAAAAGAAACTTCTGATTTCCCCACTGAGAAATCTGTTATTTTCATACTGTCTCTCCTTTCTTAGGAAATGACACATTCAACTAAGTTGCTTAAACTCCAAACCTAGGCACTTGGTCCTGGGCTCATCTATGCAAACCCCAGAGAAGAGGTGCAGGTGGTCACCCCAAAGCCATCGGAACTTCCATGCCAACCTCCCAGGGCCAAAAAAGGCATGATCTACCTGAGGTCAAGAAGAGATCTTTTAATCAAGCTCGACATTGGGGTGGTCGAAATGAATAGAGCTGTGCCTTCAAGTCTAAACCAAGACTGCTCACGTGACCTGGGCGACAAGAAAGTTATCAAATCTACTCAAGACTTCACCGAGGAAGAACTGCCCAGGGGCAAAGCAGGCTATAACACGGCACAGCTGGGAGTAACGAGTGGGAAAAGTAAAACTGCACCATGACTCTTACATTCAAAATGACGGAGCCCTCCAAAGAACTGAGTCTATACACGTTTCTAAATTTGAATCTCAAAATTGGTCTGTGAGGTTGTTATTACTCTGCCATCTTACAGATGAGAAAGGAGGGCTCCACGAGCCCTGCTGGATGATTTGTCCAAGATCATGAAGCTAATCAGTAGCAGAACCAAAACCGTGGTGAGAAGTCCAATGGCTTTGTTAACCATTAATGATTATCAGTATTGCCTTTCTCATGAGGTGATTAAAATGGAACCAAACCCTGAATGGAGGCCATTGGTGACTGCTGAAGTTGGATCTGGAATGGTCCCAAGGATCCATGGTTACAGCTGCCCCACACCTTACAGGATCCCACGTCGCCCTTACAACTCTCCTCCAAGGCAGAGCCCCTCTCACTCTGCAGATGAGGGCCATCTGTCACACCGGCCCTGGCACAACCAGCTGCAGCACCGGAGCTCAGGTGGGTGAGACACGGCTCCTGCTTCCCCTGGCTCACAGCAGGGTGCGGCAGCTCACAGCCAGGACAAAGTTGAGTCAGAAACTTGGGCTGCTAAACAGCAATGCAAGAAGTGGTCTGCAGTGAGACAGGCCTCCAAGTGGTGACGGGGGCACCTGGGGACGGAGTACGGCCCAAGGTCTCCAGCAGGAAATCGCCTTCTTTGAAGGTGTAGAAGGCGAAGAATGGAAATATTGAGCTGGGACCTCAAGAGGTGGAATAGGGAAAGAATCCAAAAGGCTACGAACATGGATTGCTAGGAAGGAAATCCTCTGGCCTGGCCCAGGCCCTTCAGGAGCCACAGTCCTGTGTATGCTGCAACCTCCTCCCTGTACCTCCGCTCCACCTCCCGCCTCCCTGCCCCTGGCTGACTCCTGGCCTCAGGTTCAGTTGAGCGTGGCTGTCACTTCTGCCAGGGAGCCTTCCCTGGCTTCCCTCGGGGGTGCCCGCCACACTTGCTCACCCGCTCCTTGGTCTCGGTGCCCACTGCTTTGTGATTCAGTTGCTTGCTTTGCTGGAATCCCTCGCCCATCTCCAAGCTGGGAAGGCGTGTCGTTCACCACTCAGTAGTTGGCAGCATCTGGGACACTTGAGCCAAAATTCTAGAGCAGATGAATGACACACCCAAACAACTGTAATGTTAGCAATACACGTATTTTAACAGGAAGAGCTTTAAACCAGTCAAAAGCTGCAGCACAGTACAGAGCTCTCCCACATACCTGCACCCAGTGATCTCCACTGTTCACACCTCACATTCTTCATGACTAAGTCAGCGCAGCAATTACCTTTAACTAAGCAGTGCACATCCGGCTTCAGCAGTGTTTTCCGAAGGTCCTGTATCCTTCCCAAGTCCCGATGCAGGGAGCCGGGGTGCACTAGGTGCTGTGTCTCCAACAAAGCATTTTGACTCTGGAGATCTGACGAGGGTGGGCAGCCTGAGGACGAGGCCCGGCAGACGGAAATTGTTCCAACCCAGGCTGAGAGACCAGCCACGGGAGAGGACAACAGGGATGGGGAGGGAGCGCGAAGGACACACTGATCCAGACAACAACCTGCCCTCGGTAAGAACTTAGAAACACGCTGTTGGTCTCCTTGCCGTTTCTAGAATTCAAAGCCGGGGCCTTCGTGGGCAAGGTTCCGTCTCTCCTGTCCCTGACTCTACAATCTTCTTGCTTGGCTTCGCGTTTTTCTCCTTTTCCCTCATCACTAACAAGCCAAACTGTTGACTGATTTATTTTCTTTTTCCTTCAAGAAAGCAAGGCTGTGTGTTTGCTTTGTTTATTTTGATACCCTACAGCCTTGAGCGTTGTCGCGCACTCGGGAGCCATCTGCAGGGTCCAGCCAAGGAGCCCAGGGTCTTGAGCCCAGGTGAGGAGGGAATGGTGGTCCGGCTGGCGGAAGTGACACCTGGGAAGGTGAGCTTGAAGAGAAAGACTCAGGCCTTACTTCCTCATCCAGCCACGCCAGGGTGGCAGTGGCAAAATAAGGAAAAGAAAATCCTAGCTGTGCAGGGCCCCACCCGGCCAATGAGCTCCGCCCTCCCCCAGGCAGGCCCTGTGGCTCCGCGTCACCCTCCTCCAGGGCCCAGACGCCGAGCCGGTGACGCGGCCCCATGGATCTCAGGTCCTCATCAAAACCACGAGCTGCTTCACAGATCCGTGACTCCAGGACCTGCAGGCTGAGGCCTTCCTGGAGAGGCCGGCCCCGCCCTCCAGGCCTGGGTCCCAGGAGGGCCCTGGGCACCTGTGCTCAGACCGCAGCGCGGCGGCTACGGTGGGAAGGGGCCTCCAAGGCCGCACCGCAATCCTGCGGCAGGACCCAGAAACAGGTGCATCTTGGCTCCAGCCCAGGGCTGGCCTCGCACCAGGGAATTCTCGTTCCTAGAGCGCCACCTCCTGGTGAAGAGCCTTCCAGCATCAGCTGAAAGGTGCTGGCAAATTTTACCTTATTTTGAGCTTTGCTGAGTGCGATTCCGGAAGGGTGTGAGGGAATATTTAAAAAACACAAAACCTCTCCCACAGAAGGCTTTCTATAATTGCTTTGCCGTTTAGAAAGGAAGAGGGTAGCATTTTGCACGCTTTAGTCAAT